AACTTATCTTTCAGCAGACAATCTTGTAAAATCTGTATTGATCTTCTTTATCAATATATATTTTAAATTTGAAAATTGTGTTTGTATTCATCCCCCCCCCCTTTACAAACTGTTCAGTATTCTTGTAGACCCTTTGGGACCAACACATGGACATACTTTCCCCCTCCGTACTCCCCCATTTAGATTGTTATGTATAATACAACAAAATTGGATTTATAGGACACCCCCAATCTCTAAACGTTCCGATACACCGCTTTATAGGTTCCAATTTATAGGGACCAAAATATAAGGTAATCTATCTAAAGGTGTTGTAATAAGTTTATATGGCGCTTTTGGGCGTCTAAACAAGTTTTTAGGACATTTTTAATACAAAATGTCGCATTAGCAACTTTATAAAACACTTTTGAGAAAGTGTCCTATAAACTCAATTTTTTATAGGACATTTGTTTTTATAGAACATTTTTTAAATAGGGTCCCATAAAATTGTTAATGGGACTCTATATTAAAAGTGTCCTAAAAAAACTTATTATGACATCAAAAAACGTCATATAAACTTATTACAACGCTTTAGATAGGACGCTTTATTTTTTTGGTCCTATAAATTAGGTCTTATAATGAGGTTTATTAGGACGCTTAGAATTTGGGAGTGTCCTATAAACCCGACTTTGTTGTAGTGGTACCCCTCAGACATTTGTATGAATTTAGTATTTTGATATATATATATATATATATATATATATATATAAATTGGTTATTTTTAATTTGTTGGCAATTTTGGTTTGATATTTTGAATTTATGGGAAGATTTTGTATTAAATGTACAAGAAATGCCGTAGATTAATTTAATTTTTTTCTAAAATTACCGAAAATCAACGACGAAAATCAGTCATTAAGAGTTAGTAGGGTTGTTGCTAATCCGTCTCTAAAAAGCCTTAGCTAATCCTAGTTGTCGCTTATCTGTCGCTAAAAGTCCATCCCTAATGTGTCGGTAAAAGTCCATCCCTAATATGTCGGTAAAAGTCCATCCCTAATACCGTTGATCGTAGCAGTCGCTAAATTTTGTTGTTGATCCGTCAGTAATGACATCACCCACCACTACTTGGTAGACAAACTATTAACGACATATCAACAATGGAATTGAGCATTTCCATCAGATTAGCGACAACAGGTTTAATCGATGATAGGGTCCGATTTTGTAATACTCTCAATTCATATATAACGTTCAAATGAATCTTATGCACATATCACTATAACAAAACTGACTTTAATGGATGCTTAAAATGTAGAAGCATCATAAAAATTATTTTATTGGACTTATAAGTTTATAAAACCAAACCAAAAAGTGTCATCTCTAAAAATGTTACAAAATATTTATAGAATGTTTTTAGGCGTTTTAACAACTTTTTAGAACGCGTTTAAAATAAAGTGTCAGTGTTAATTTTTTTTTTATATAACACTAGTTGAAAAAGTGTTTCAAACACAAGTATCCATTAAAAAGATGGGTTTATAGAACATAATAAAATAGATAGTAGGACATTTATTTTAAAGGCGGCCAATAAAACCAATTCTATGGTAGTGTATATCATATTAAATTTCCGAAAGTTATTTTGGTTTGATACGCCATGTAATCCCTTCAATCTGATCGTATCTAGGAAATAAATTTGGTAGAATATGTATTGCTCGTAATGGGAATAATTGATTTAACGTGACGAACTAAATGCAACATTTCAAACCAAAAACAGTTATGGAATACATTCATCTAAAAAAATCTAACATGATTAATTGCCACTCGTAATTCAACTCAAGCACGAAATAGAAATTATTTGACCATAAATTATGCCAAAAACATAATTAATTAATTAAGCAACGACTTCAATAAGTGTTGTCTCGTAGTCATTTGGTGCCACAAATCCATGAAGATTCATAACTGTTGCTGCAACATTAGCAAGTCCACCATTTGGTACGTCCTTCCGGAACTTCACTCCTCCAGCTAACCCTGGACCTCCGACTGCAACCGGCACCTAATGTCCAACCCCGATCCCCATTAGATTACTCCTCAAAATAAAAATTATAACTAATGAAGGTGAGTCGTATTCAGGGCCGGCCCTGGCCTCTTGCAGCCTGCGCAGATCGCACATGGCATCAAAGCCTAAAAGGGCATCAGGTTGTCATCTATTACTAGTTTTGAGTTTACTAATTTGAGAATTGGATAACTGGGATTTAATAATAAAAACATACCCAACGCTCGGTAATGATGGATACTGAATACGCATCGTCAACGGGTGAACGCCCAACATTTCAACAACTCAAGCCCATTTCTATTGTTCTACAAAGTTTGACTATTCCGGCTTTCAAGAGTATGGCGTTCTGTTTCCAGCCGATTAACGGTCATGAAGCTAGATTCAAGAAATCCAAGATGGAAATCCCGAGTGGTCGATTTCTATTGTTGATTGAACTTGTTGAGTTTCAGTGTTAGTCGTATTATGATTTATGAATCTTTAATTTTATTTTTTGTAAAAAAATTCTAGATTTCTAATTGATTATTATAAGTTGTGTGATGCTTGGTCGTGTATTTTATCCAAACGCAGGTTTATTATAATTAATAAAAATGAGCATGTGGATGAGCCAACTACCTTGACTAGGTTCCAAACCATTTAAAAAATCGTATGTTTCGTCATTTCATTTGCTTAAAAACCTAGGCATGGGTGCATTTTCTAGCATTTTCGCACAGAGCATTGAAAACTCCTAGGACGGTCCTGGTCGTATTGCTTACCGGGTGAAGAGTGTGTGACGTTAGGATTTGAACTTTTCCATCTTTGCCAACAAGAGGCTCCCCTTTCTTGTCTCGTTTCACCATATCCTCGGCGTTACCATGATCTGCGGTGACTATATATATTCCGCCCACTTTCTCGACTGCGTCAAGGATAGTCTGTCACCAAAACGCACCGTATATAACGATGATAAACACAATATTTGTTTAGGTCGTTTGACTTTTTTGAACAATTTTGAGTCGAAAATACATAAAACATCAAACACCAACAAGTTTGTTACCTTAACAGCTTCATCAGCAGCCTTGCAGCCGATGATTGTAGCCTCAATATCGCCGGTATGTCCAACCATATCTCCATTTGGTATATTCACTCGTACCTAAACCACATGAAAACACTTATTAACCCTCTAACTAGTTCAGATGTTTTTGGAGTTTTGTATCACTATAACAGATCCACATTTATAAAACATCAAATTTGTGTAACGGTCCGAATATATAAACTGATCATTTCACTTATTTAAGTTTATAAGACCAAACAATTGTACGTCTTGTGTAAAAGTGTTATAATATTAAGTTTATAAGATATTTTTAGGCGTCTTAAAAAGTTTAGTTTTGTTAAGTTTTTTTACATTATATTATTTGGAAAAAGTGTCTTAAAAAACAATTGACTTATAAAAAATATATGATCATTGGACACTTAGGTAGTGTTTGGTGGTGGAGGTGGTTTTGGTTATGGTGGAGGTGGTGATGGCGACGGTAGTAGTGGTGATGGGCGGTGGTGGTTGGTGGCCTATAGTGGTAGTTGGTGGACGACAGTGGTTATAGAGGATGTGACGATGGTGGATTGTGGTGGTGGTGGCGGTTGACAACGGTGGAGGAGGTAGTTGTGGCTGATGTAGTGAAGCTAGTGGTGGTTGTGGTTAAGGTGGAGGTGAGGTGGCTATGGATGGTGGTGATCGATGGTCGACGGTGGTTGTAGAGGTTGTGGAGGAGGTTGTTGTAGTAGAGGAGTTCAAGGTGGCCAACAGTGGTAGCGGTGGTGGCAATGGATGGTGGTGGTTGGTGCCCGATGGTGGTTATAGAGGTGGCAATGGACAGTGGTGGTTGGTGGTCGACGGTGGTTGTGGAGGTCATGGAGGAGGTTGTTGCGGTATAGGAGTAGTTGGAGGTGGCTAACTGTGGTAGTGTTAGTGGTAATGGCCGGTGGTGGTCGATAGCCAATGGTTGTTGTAAGGGTGGCAATGGACGGTGGTAGTCAGTGGTCAACGGTGGTTATGGAGGTGGTGAAGGAGGTTGTTGTAGTAGAGAAGGTGTTGGAGGTGGCGAACGGTGGTAGTGGTGGTGGCTATGGACGGTGGTGGTCGACTATGGTAGAGGTGGCGATGAACAATGGTGGACGGTGGTTATGGAGGCGATGTAGGATGTTGTTGTAGTGGAAGAGGAGGTGGAGGTGGCCGTCGGTGACCGAAACTAGCGGTGATGACCATTAAAACAAATACCATATTAAGGTTATATATCAAACTAGGGTATATTAATAATAGTTTAGTTTATGTCATTCTTATCCCATCTTGTTCCACCTATTTTGGTGGAACAAGAAAAAACCTCTTTTGTCTGTGTTGTTCCACCTTGTCCCAGTTCTTATCTTTGTCCCATGTCACGCCAAACGTGAGACAATGAGTTCATGTTCTGTCTCATTCTGCGCCAAACATGGGACAGTGAGTTTTGTCTCGTCCTGTCCTATCTCATCTCGTGTACCAAATGCAACCTTAAAGTTATATAATACAATGCTTTGTTTCTCTAATATCAATTTTTTTTTTGAAACGTCTAAGAGCGTCTTATAAACTTATTGTAACAGTTTTACAGAGAATGCACATTGTTTGGTTGTATAAACTTAAGTCCAACAAAACAATATATATATTAGGATGGTTACACATTTTTTAGGACCTATAAACCCAATTTTGTTATCTTCAAGGGTTCTTTTGTAAAGTGATCTAATGGAATTCTACGTATTCTGAAAGCTCTTAGGGTGCGTTTGGTTTGCAGGAATGTTTCTGAGGGATTTGGATTTGCAGGAAGGATTTGGATTTGGAGGGATTTGGATTGGATTGGATTTAAAATCAAATAACAAATAACACCCTAATCACAATGTTGGGCCAAACTACCAATTGTTATCCTAACAGAGTCAAGATCTTGTCTTTCTACTTAATCAAGTGTAAAATAGGGAAACTCATAACAAAGGATAATCAAGAACGCTGGAAATTAGGTTAACATAAATTAGTTTCATGCTGAGTGATGAGAAGGGGCGAAGAGGAAGAGAGGGAAATCTTTACCTGCTGAGTGATGAGAGAAGGCGGGGAAGAGGAGGAGAGAGCACCGTCGAGAGCGGGACGACAAGGAGGAGAGATTACCGGTGAGGAAGAGAGAGCTCCGACAGGTTAGGGCGGCAGGAAGCGAGAGGACAGGAAGGGAAGTGAGGCGAAGGGAAAGGAAGCGGGATCTGTTAAGCAAGGAGAAGGGGTGGAAGCGATTTTATTGGATTTGGATTTTAAATCCAGCACTTTTGCAAAGGATTTCTAAATGCCATGTTTAAGGGATTTTAATAAAATCCCGGGATTTCAAATCCTGACAATATGGCAAATCAAACACACAGGATTGGAATGAATTTTAAATCTAAATCCCCCCAATTCCTTTGCATTCCTGCAAACCAAACGCACCCTTACTCTTTTTGTTCCAATAAAAGGATAAAATGGTTTACCTGATCGAATTTCCCGCTAAGGATGGCATCACGGGCTTTCTCACCGATCTCAAGAGACTTCATCTTTGGTTTGACATTGAAGGTGATTCCGCTATCACTCGGAATTTCCACATATTCTTCCTTCTCAGAATTAAAACATCCAGATCGGTTTCCATTCCAAAAAAATGTTACATGACCGAACTTCACGGTTTCACTGTTGTACAAAAACAAGAACACATAACAAGTAGTATTCATAATAAATGAGAAAATCTATAGCTACCATAAAACCTACCGCTGTTTAATGCATAGGGGCATGTTCATATTTGAAACTCAAATATTTTTAGGACCCTGAAAACCGATTATTCTTGAATTATTCATTATGAATATTATGATCATCATTTCATTATCTTTAGGAATATTTATCGTAAATAGTTTGATTCTTATGGTTCTTAAAAGATGTATGCGGTGTCCTAATAGACTACTTTATAGGACTTATAGGACCACACACTCGTGTATAATGTCTAAAAGCAACAAGTTCGGGTTTTATAGGAGGCCAAAAATGTTTGAGTGTCCAAATAGACTACTTTATGAGACTACAAAAGCAACAAGTTCGGGAATTATAGGATACCAAAAATGTCTGAATCTCCAAATAGACTACTTTATAGGATATAAGTTTACACGACTATAAACTTGTGTGTATTATCTAAGAATTCTATAATAAGTTTATAGGACGCTTTTGAACGTTTTAACAAGTTTTTAGGGTGTTTTTCGACGTTTAACAAGTTTTTTTTGACACTTTTGAAACTAAAGTGTCCTATAAACTTTTTTATATGTCACCATTTGAAAAAGGGTTTTATAAATAAATGTCCTACCATATGACAGTTCTCAAAAGTATGTCATAAAAATGCTAATGGAAGAACACTTTCTTTCAAAAGTGTCATAAAAAGTTTGATAAGACGTCTAAAACGACATATAAACTTATTACAAAACTCGCATACAAGTGTTTGATCTTATAAATAAGTCTTCTAAGTCATCTATTAGGACAATTAAATACATTTGGTGTCCTATAAATTCGATTTTGTTGCAGTGATTACTCTAAGTAATTTCTGCCCCAATGCATATTCTCTATATTTAGCAAAGAAAAATGCAGGATGAATTTGGTGGTTTTCTTAGACTTATTCGCTACGAAAACAAACACAAGAAGGAATAATTCACCTGCAGGCGAAGGTGCGAATACCATTATTCACTAGATATTCACCAGAAGTCCTCTCTATCAATGGAGGAGATACAAGATAATGACTTGGAAGTTTCAACTCCCCATCATACTGAAGCATTCCCGCATATCGAATTTTGGGCATTCGGACTCTATCAAACTTATCAAATTTCTCATTTTCGAGAGCTTGGGCAAGCATTGTCATACGGTCCGCTCGGAAGTTGAATGTGACAACAGCATCACCATCCACAATTGGACCAACAGCCTTCCCACCATCATCAACGATCACAAATGGTGGTAGATACTGGTCGTTAGCATTCGGAGCTTCCCTCAGTTTCTTGATGGCCTCAACGGCATTCTTGAATTTATTCGATGCTTCGCCAAGAACCTGAGCATCCCAGCCACGCTTTACGACTTGCCAATCATTCTGCCAAAACCAAACGCCATGATCGAGTCAAATTCATATTCAGTTGGTGTCACAGAAACCGACACAAAAAGTAAACGTCATGTTAGTCTTTTTATCGTGTCATATATTTGAAACACTAATAGAACATTTTTTTCAAAAGTGACTTATGAAAAGGTTAATATGACGATTTAGTTTTTATGTTCCTATTAAATTCTCCAATTTCGTCGATAAAACTTGGTAGGTAGTCTAAATTCGTAAAACAACTCATTGTAATGTGGGCATGAGTTTTTGGTCCTATATACTTTTAAAGTGAAAGACGGATTTTGTTGCAGTGTCATCAAGCATGTTTTTGAACACTTTACCTCATAACGATCCATTGTGACATACATTCGCCCTCCACCTGAAGCAATTTTTGCATCAATGCCTTTACCACGCAGCTCCGAGAGGTCCTTTTCAAGCGTTTCAGCATGGGTAACACTTGAACCGTCCAAAACATCCCGACCATCAGTAAGCACGTGGATTCGTATCTTCTTGGCACCATGTTCGCTAGCCCCTTTTAGCAACAACTGAATTCAATAATATACAAATCAAAAAAGATCAAATGAATATCGAATAAATGACCAATCAATTACAATGTTTCAACCATAAATACCTGTAACTGATTACAATGTTTCAACCATAAATACCTGTAACTGATCAAGGCGCGAGTGAACACCCCCATCGCTCATTAATCCGATGAGGTGCAAGGTGTTATTAGCAAAACATTGCTTAATGTAATTGAAGCCTTCATCATCGAATATTTTTCCCGAAGAAAGCGCAAGATCAACAAGTTTTGCCCTAAATAAGTAAATATATATGATGAATGGTCAAAAAGAAACCATAAGAATTGTGGCTTACTGGTTAAGCCCCGAAAATCTAGTGGAATATCCATTATAACCACCGAATACGAACTAATATCTTATAGTTATAATTTGTCCGGATTAATTTGGAGATAGCTTTTGTAACATCCTTTAAAAAAGAGAGAAAAAGGAGTTGGAAAAGAAATTGAAGGAGATGCATAAAAAAGATTTTACCCTTGAGCATAGATTCTGCCAGCACCAAGGGCATTATGTCCAACTTCACTGTTTCCCATGTCATCATCAGTAGGAAGCCCAACAGCAGTTCCATGAGCCTTCAACAGTCTCCATTTATCTGGGGCACTCTATATCATAAAGATAATATAGTTTAAGTTTATTCAATTCTGTTAGTTAGTACTACAGTATATTCTACATTCTTCAAAAGATTGGCCTCTGTTATGTGTCTTTGTGAGAATGATATAACAAACCGTGTAATCATGATTTGTCTGAATGGATACACCTTGGATATGATATTGGTCAAATGTTTTTTTCTTTTTGATTGTTTTAAAAAAATAATTTGGATTTTTGGTGGATAACCTTTGTATTTTTTAATATCCGAGCACTATCAATTAAACGGGTGCACAGCCCCCAGGATCTGCCTTTGATCATAACAAACCTCAACTCTATGTTGTGATCTGTATTATTTGTACGTAATAAAAGATTAGAAAATTTCTCTTTACATTGTTAGGTTCCCCTTGCTCGATGCAATTTTCCTCCATTTTTCTGTCCTTTTCCTCTGTGCATGTGCATGTGCAAGTGTCATGTTCATCTCTCTCTCTTTCTCTATATATACATGGACTCATTCAAAAAAGAACTGATTAGTTTATGGTAACCGTAAGATCCAATCTCAACCACAAATCAATACATAAATAAATAAATTTATAATTTTACTAATTTTGAATTAAAATTTTAATGTAAGGATATTTTAGGTATTTTCCCTCCGTCCCCAGTCCTCCGGCCTCCGACCACCATCCTCCGTCCTCCGTCCTCCGTCCTCCGGTGATACTATCGTGATACCTAAAATTATTGACTCTGTTAAACAAAAGACACAGTGTGATACTCAAGCACATATAAGATGCATTGTGAAACCACTGTGTTACATCTCCGATCAACCACACAAACGACCTCAGTGTGATACCCAAACACATATAAGATGCATTGTGATACCTTAGGACGGTGGCCGGAGGACGGAGAGAGAAGAAAGGAGAGATGAGAGTTTTAAAATACCTAAAATGTCATTGTATAAAAAAAATTTAACTCAAAATTATAAATTTACTAATTTTTCTATTGATTTGTGGTTGAGATTGGACCTCACGGTTACCACAAACTAATTAGTTTTTATTTGATTAGGCCTCTATATATATATATACACACACACATATAGGGTTGAGTTTCGATGAGAAGCGGAATTTTCAACCTATGCATCGAGATGAGATGCATTGAGATGCACCATATCAATCCCGTATTTTAAATGGGTTTGAGATTAAAAGTGATTAAGAGTCAAGATTTTTTTTTACGCTTCTTTCCTTAACTCTCTTAATCTCACATGATCTTTCATGTATACACCTTAACTCTCTTATTCTCACACTCTCTTACATATATGGGCCTGAAAATAAAGATCACAACAAATGGGGCCAAATCTTCATACCTATTTATGATCAGATAGACGAAACTCGCAAAATCTCATTCTTTTTGCCACATTGGTGTACATGATACGCTCTCCAAGTCGTTATAATCATTGTTAGGGTTTCATTCTTTAATACGATCTTCCTCCATTTTCGATAGATATATATATATATATATATATATATATATATATAGGGGTAAGATCAAATGTTAACCAAAGTTTTTGTGTTAACTTTGTTAACCGATCTTGGCCATTCAATCTTTCAATAAACGGTTGTGATTAATCATGATAAAAACTTATTTTTTTAAATTTAAAATTGTATAAAGATAAATGAACAATGTTGAAAAAGGTATTTAAGTAAAAAAAATGTATGTAACTCCCATATCATTAATTAATTGGGAGTTACAAAATCAAAAATTCTATGATTTTTTTTGTTAATGTAAGAAACATATGAACACAATTATATATATATGAATCATTGTGTCAAATACGAACAAAAATTTGACATATATATATGAACTTGGACTGCATAACATTTATGAACACAATATGAACATAATAAGAATAACTGTTATACGAAAG